TACCACATCACTAATATCGCCTACTATAATTAAAAAAAAATTCTAGTATATTTAATAATAAGGTGTTTCATCACTGCTAAATGATATAAATACTAATCTGAGAACAGATATATAAAGAGATGATCTCTGAATTAATCTTTTTCAAGATATATTAAAAAACAGATTACATCAACGTGCCTATATATTACCTGAATAAAATGTCAAATATTTTAGAATTGGATCTGTTTCAACTTATATTATTAAATGATCTTTATCGAAATTTGATTATTGAGATTATACTAATAAATAAAAAAAATTAATGAGATAGAATTAGAAAATTCTATAGAACAGTAACTAATCTTACATATAAATGAAGTATTGCAAATAAATTTTGCTAAACTTAAAATTCTATATTTGTCAAGTAAATCATTTCCGCTTGACAAAATAATCTTGTCAGAAAATATATGCTACTGTGTAGTCCTAACAAAAGCAGAAAAGCGAATAAATTAAATTATTTCTTTTTATAACAATTCAATGATAATTAGTGATGACATGCAAAGAAACAAAACATAACATTTTTTCTGTTAGAATAAATGATTCAAAACTATCCTGATAAATTCATATAGACAATGAGAATTACTTAAACAACACTAATACAGAAGTATTTTTTTATGGTACTTGATCTGTAAAAGACGATTTACAGGATACAAAAAAAAATAACATATGAATATGAGTAAATCAAACAATTTTGTATCGATCTTATATTGTCAGAGTAAACTTAACTACTTACTCAATACATCATTTATAATTTTATATTTTATTTCTCAGTGCAAATAATATTAGTTTTATAAGATATTAATCTTTTTTATTTTTGCACTTTGACTTATAAAAAGAAAGAAATTGTGAAATAAAGAAAAAAATTCTACTTAGTTTTTATAGCTAATTATAAATGAAAAAAATGACCTATATTCAAAAAAGATTCTTTTGATCCTTTGTTTATATATTAATCTTATGCCTTTGGCTAACAAAGTATTTATTTTTACTACTTATTATCTAAATTTATATAACCACAGTAACTGACGAAAGAATAGAAAAATGGTTCTCAAGGATGTTCCGAAAGCATCACGTTGACTGCAATGTGATTCTATGAAAAATTTCTCAGTATATGACCTTCCTAAAAACATCAATGGATTTATTCTTTTACTAAATAACCCATAATACTATTGATGTGAAATCCTACAACTTTTTTGAAAACGAAGAGAAAGACATTGTCGAACTATTAATATTTTATCGGTACTATGAAAAAGCATCTGTATAAAGTCAGTATAACATATAATTATTTTTAGAAAATTTTTATTCTTACCGATGTATGTAATGTAGTTTAGAAAAATACACAAAAGATAAAAAGAATCGGAATATGAATTGAATCTATTCTTTTATATCAAAAGATAAATAATAGACCTAAGTCGTTTTTATATAGTGATGCGATAATTATTACACTTGTAAAAAAATCGAACGAAAGTCAGTGAATAATATGTCAGGTTTACTGCATAACCTCATTTGGTTCTTATATAGTCGTATCACAAAATATTTTTAATACTATATTACCCTCTCATTTATCAAAGACATCCTCTTCAAAGAAAAGCAAGCATCTTTCAAAATCTTAAATCTTTTTTTTTTATTTCTTTGATAAAATAACTGATCGAAACTAAGAATACGACAATTTTCGTCTAATTATTGCTCTCATAAATTCCTAGTATTCATACGTGAATTGTTATATCAACATCGTACACTCGCTTTCATATTATCTTATCATAATATATATGATGTACCTAGAAGTTTTTGTGATGATGGAGAAGAAAATATAAATCTAAAACAATAATAAAATCAAGTTTATAATACCGAATTGAAAAAAACAGCTGTAAACACATCATCAGTATCTTTTCTTATATATGCAACTAACCATGTATAGATTTATGTTTACTCTATGATGAATAATTACCCATATGGTTCCATACATAATCATTTAAAATATTTCGATGAGAAATATAGAGAATTATTATCCACTATATGAATCGTTCAGAAAAATATCAACAAATGCATTTTCTTGTTGATTTTTTTTCATTATCAACTGATGGAAACTGATTCTCAAATTTTTTATCTGCACAGAAGATGTCATTAGTATTTTTTTGCTTGCTAATGTTCTGATAGACCCAAATATAGCTACAGTTGCAGAATAATATTACATGGTCCACGTTCTGCTAATTGACATTGAAGGATAAGTTCTTCCATTGCTATCCTCTCTTTTGCTGTTCTAAACTGAGTGTAATGTAGTTACATTGATGATAAGAATGAAAAAGTAATTATAATATTTTCTTTCTTCTATATACGAAGTCTAGAAACAAAACAACTATTTCATGATGATTATAGTTCAATATTCATGAAGATAGTATTTAAAGAGCGTTCCATATTTCATAAATAGCAAGAAAAACAAATAAATATCTAGTTTTCTTTTATACAATCAATACAAGGAGGACTCATTGTCAAAGTTTTTGAATATAACTTTGTTAGTAACACAAATATTTAACTACATAATAGTTTATCCACATTCTTTTATTGTAAAGTATGTCTCTTTATTAAATATTGCATGTCATTTTCAGATTACTAAGTAAGAAAAGTTAGTAAAAGTTTGATTTTTATTATTATTTTGATTTTGGCCAGACCTAGTTTCGTTAATAATTACAAAGAATATTTTAAATTAAATTAAATCTAATAAACAATGATAAACGTGTACTAAAATTATATGTATTGAAAATTATATTATTCTTATCTTTCTTTAGATTGAAGAAAGAAAAACAAATGAATAACTTGTTTTATTTTACATTTTTCTATTTCATTTGTAGAAAAAAAATGAAAAATATTTGTATGAACTGTTAAAACTAATCGTCATCAGCATATTGTTTATAGTGAATAAAAATGCGTATGTGAACAAATTATGAAACTTATTACAGTTTATGGTTCTTCTAATACTATAATTTGCTCTTTTTTAACATTCTGTTTTCATATATTACATGTTTTATTCCGATAAAAAGTAGTTGATCAACTTCGATTATTTATTAGAAGAAAGCAAAAGTAGTATTATTTGTTCATTATTTCATAAAATCTCATAGTAAGTATATTTTTTCATCCTATTTAGAATAAATGTGGGAACACTAGATTTAAATTTTATAATGTATTCACTTTTTGAGTACACAAAAAAACTACATATATATTATATTCATTCAAATCGAATTTATTTTTCTTTAAGTTTTTTCGTGAAAAAAAACAAAATCTATTCATAATTGCTATATATTTTAAAATTAGAAAAAAAAGAAAAAGATACGTTCACCGGATGGTATAAAAATAGAATAGAACTTCATTTTACTATTTTGAGCATAAATTTTTATCTGGATTAAATATCTGATTTATAGGAAGTATGAAAAGCATTCTTTATATTTTTGGCTACTTCCATGGTACTTGGGATAGGAAATACACAACATTCACCAAATCGTTTGAAACTTTCAGGAAACAAACTTGGTACCTCTCTCTATCGCTTCTGATAAGTGAAAATATTCATGTAGAAAAATAATCTTATTACATCAATAGATTGATGAAATTTGGTTTTATATAAATTGACTATAACTTCATCGAGGCGAATTTAGCAATTAAGCAAAAAAAAATCTTACTTTTTTTCTAATTAAAAAAATAGTGGAATCGGTTTGTTTTCTGAATAGATTTTAATAAGGCAAGAAAAATTCTTCAAAGTTTTGTTTTTAGTTTATGAATAAACCTTGTCATGTTGTTTATTCTCTTTCAAGTCAACTCGATTATAAATAAGTTAGCAATTGTCATATCTGCTTTTCAATTTCAAATGAATTTATTTTCAAACGATCGTTCTAGTAGTATTATCATAATATGCTTTACTAATAAAGAAAAACGAATGTCTAATAGTGCATATATTTAGTTTGTTATTCATTATCACACATAATATGTATTTATTTTTATATTCTATCGTAGTGCGTACTATGAGAATGAAAAAATATCACGTGTTTTTTCTTGATCCAGTCAATTTCATTACTTATATTTTTTCATTTATCTACCTGTAATATCAAACAAGAAAGTTGCTATAGTTCGTACACTTTGATCATATAATAAAATAAAAATATAATAAGTTAATATTGTAATCATGCGAAATATAGACTTTATTTCCAATTAGAATCAGTAAATGTTGTTTTCTATGTCGAGGTAGTATATTTTTACACATCTATAAGGATATTATGTTGACGATGTATGGTTTATCTAAATTCAATAAAATACTTTTCTGTAATTATTTGATATTTTTGAATCTAATTTGAAAAATAGTTTTATTGAAAATTATATATTACAAAGATTCTCATTAAGATCGAACACTTTTTCAACAGATGACTATTATTCTGATTAGATTCTAATGAAAATAATAGTTTAATCAATAAAAATTGATTAATTAAAGAGAGATATCAAATCTTGTTCATCTTTTACTGTATAGGTGTATATATAGTTTTTCAAAAAGTTTAGCAATATAGAATCGTTTAGAGATAAAGGAACGCATATTAGAAATAGCAAATAAAATGTTAAATTTATTTCTTTGAATTAATCATCTTCATAATTCTTTTCTTGCTCTTCATTAAAAACAATTGCGAACATAAAAATTTAATAGGTAATTTATTATTATTCATCTGAAATATCTTCTTGTTATTTATCAAAATCGTAATAACGTGCGTATATTGCTTGTTTATCATTGGTTAAATATTATATAAAAAAATAAGATATTTGTATATGCACTTTTACCTGGAGTCTGGATTGATAGTTTGATATGATGGGCGTGGCTCTTAATAATAACCATAATGATGTATAAAGGTGAATAATAGTATTGCCGTATATAAAGGAGGATATTTTATGTGTAGATTATTTATTGTAAAGAAAAAATAAACTTATAAATCAATATGGATCGTGAATTTGAAGGTAATCGTGAACGTGAGCGTGAACGTGAACGTGGTCGTGAAGGTGGCTTTGAAGGTGGTCGTGAACGTGGCTTTGAAGGTGAACGTGGATTTGAAGGTAATCGTGAACGTCAAGGTGAACGTGAACCAGGTCTCATCAATGATTTTCGCCGTGAAGAAGGAAAAGTCGAAGGCGAATTTCGAGATTTTGAAAGAGGTCATGAACAACGTGAAGCTGATAAATATGAAAATCGTGCTGATAAATATGAACGAAGAGAAGATGAAGATTTCAATAAAGGACGTTTTCCGTAAATTTTTTCATTTTTATTCGATCAATTAGTCAAGCATTTTTGTTTATATAATTATTTCTCATTTCATTTATAATTTATATTCTATTCAAATTTCAATAAAAATGCTTTAAAATAAATGTCGTGTCAGTTCGATCATTCTCTAATACAATATTACTGCGAATTTGAAATGTGTTTATTTTTATTCTTATTTTGAAAAATTATAATGACTAAAAACTTATTAAACCTTAGTATTTAAATCAGTTTTTATGTCTAGTAAAAGCAATCGACCTTGAAGATTTTGTTTTTTTATTAAATACCACAAAGATGAGTTTTAACATCATTTCAGAATTTCTTAATATTCATACTACAGGTCAAATCTAAATAATAATCGTAAACACATGTAGATAATATAAGTAATATAAAAGCATATATAGAGTATAGCGAAGTATTTCAAGCACCAACATTAGAAATTTTATGATGATAAATAGGTTCGAATCATATATCATGCAATAATAGCAAGTTATTGCCAAAAGAAAATGAATTTGTAATATCAATCTAATTATGATATCCATTTTGTCAACAGAGAATTATTAAAAAAATTCATTGGTATGAAGATGAAATTAGTATTTATCTCAGCATAAATAACAGAAGTATTGTTCAGATATATCTGTTCCAATATATGTAACAATAGTTGATATTAATAGTGATGATATGGTAAACGTCATTGTTAGAAACTTTTGTAGTGTTGGTATACTATACGTTTATTGCTAGACAAATATACAATGTATGGATGAGCATAAGTGCCCATTTTCTTCTTAGCGCAGAAAAACAAATATTACTTATTACATGATAGATATTTTTTATGTTCTTAGATTCTTTATGTTGTGTTTTTATTTTCATTATAATTACACTATATACGTACATAAAAATATATTTTATTATCAATTTTCTGTAAGTATCTTTTCTGTTATATATAATAATATTGTAACAATAAATTATAATATTCTCTAGACACGTAAATTCATCTGTGTCTGTCTGTGGCATTGATAAATTTGATAACTATAGCCTAAATGACCATTTGATAACAATAATACAAACGATCATACATCGATTATGGCACAAATCAATATATAACATACAGTATAGTTTTAACTATAAAAAGCAGTTATTTTTGCATTCAAAAAGGATTCTAATATTAACTTTTTAAAATCTCGATTGTAGATTAAAAATATTCATCACACAGTGTTATGCAATTGAGTGAATACCCACTAAGACATACGTAAAATAAATAAGCGAATTATTTAAATAGCTATAAACGTATAAAATACAAACGACAATATAACTAATTGCCATGCTTTTGAAGAATATGTTACCGATAGAAATGAGATAATTGAAATTTATATATCATTTATTTAATTCTAAAAAAGACTAAATTTCAATCTGAATAATATTACTAAAATATAACAATTATTAAATCGATACGACATATTTATTAAAATAACTGTATTATAAAACTACGCAAAAAAAGTCTTATGAAGAAGTTCTTTTAATTTATAGTATTAGTACAATTGTATATGATTATTTATCATATAATTAAAAACTAGATTTAGTTATTAATATCTTTTCTTCCGATGAAGTTCTTTATTTACAAAAGATTTCCAGGTGTTTTTCAATATATAAAATGAGTATAAACCTCCTTTATTTTTTTGACGTTTTTACAGTCTATTTCTATATTATATATGATTCGTGTTGGCTTCAAACTGGGTTTTTATAGAAACATAATACACTTTAATTAAATAAGATAGAAAATAATTTTAAACATGAGACAAAATTTATGTTTATTTCATAAATTGAAAAAACATTAATTTATCTTTTCTTTATTTTTATAAAAGAAGGTTTATTTATTCTAAATTTAATCTAGAAAAACATGACATATCTGATTAAGCATATTCATCATTCTGTCACATATGCTTATAATGACAGATTTATACGACTAACTGTTCAAATAATATACTCGAGCGATAAGTTCAAAATCTAGTTAATATGAAAATATTGGATAATTGATTAAATATTAATAAATCATAAATTGATGTCGTATGTTTTTGTATCAAGAGAATATCGAATTATTAGTTAAATATAAATAAATAAATAATAAATAGGTTTTTTCTCGCTTCTACATGATTAAATGCTCTTCTTCTGACTTATGGTACGTAAAGGTTAATTTGCTTGGAAAGAAAGATGTTTTTTCTTTCGTGAATATCTTTGGTGATCATGTAATAATTATCAAGAAGTCAATTTAATAAATAGACGAGTTAGAAATATGATATTTAATATATGTTACATTATCATATAAATGCATTCGTTCATATTTATCTCCTACATTATATGACAATTATACAACTTGTGTACTCATTTATTCTCTGTTGTTATAAATAGATATGAGCACTTAATACAATCTATTCAATTAGTATAATTTCAATATTTTAACAAAGTACATGTGAGTATTCAAGCGAACGTCCTTTTTTTAACATATAATACAATCTTTAAAATTGATAAGTACTATGAAAAGATCTTATTAAAATAATTGTAGCGTACAAAAACAAAATGAAACATTTTCTAGAAAACAAAATTATTTCCTAAAACTAATAGAATCATCGAATTTTTTAATGGATTTATTTTAGTCAATATTTATGAAAGATAACAATTCAAGTATTTTCTTTTATTTGCATCTAACAATTTACAATAGAATATTTTTAGATTCTTATACTAAACATACATCAGAAAAAACTGGAACTATTGTAATATAATTTCTTTGTTCGTTGCGTAGACAATCATCAATGAACATCCGCTTTTGATTTTGTTCTAAGCAAAAAAAAATATTCAATTGTCATACAAAACATTTTATTTTTATCACGAACACATGGTACTAGTTTCCATTAGAAGAATACACTAAAAAGAATAATCTCGTTATGAATACTAAAAATAAATTTAATTCGATATTGCGTGTCATAATCTTACAAGCTTTCTTTTTATAGTTATTCCGACATCGTTAATGATTCATGTAATATAAGACACCTAATTTATCATAATGTATAAGATTCATTCAAGTTTTTTTTTCGACGTAATTTTATAATGTTAGTTTCTTTTCTTTTTTTAATTGAATATTCATTTTACTAATTTAATAATAAAATAATAAGCATTTCTGCTTTTTCACTTCAATAGTATGTACACATACAGAGTTACTTTCAGACAACGACAAATGAATAATGTAAAAACATCACTGAATAAATCATAAAAATTCTCAAATATTTAACTACATGTTGATGTTTTATGTGAAGCCATTAATGGAATCATAGACGGAACGGACATAGAACTTGCACGATCACGATCAATATGTTCATTATTTGTAACACTTATTTCACATGTTGGTCTTTTTGTTCGTCGAAATGTTCCTGATAATCTCATACCATTATTAATATGATGTTTTTGTCTAAGATGATCATTTATTAAACCACCACATGTAATACAACAATGCCAATAATGTAAATAACCTGCACGAAATTTTGATGACATAACACCATATATAAATGGATTAATACATGAATTACTCATAGCCATAAGATGAAAAGCAAAATAAAAATGAGGTACATATTTTTGATCAAATATTTGATCGAGATACGGACGTAATATATTTATATATAATTGCATTGGAAACCAACAAACACCAAACATAATAACAACAATAAAACACATTTTAATAACTTTTTGTTTGGATTTCTTAATTCTTGCATCACGTTCTGAATCAGCTTCGCCTGGTGCATGACTTTTATTTAATTGCCAACCAAGACGTATATAAACCATTGATAAAACACTTAATGGAATAAAATAAATTATTGATAATGTAGCTATATTATAGATAGTTTGAATAGATGGATATAATCCATTTGTTTGACATACTGTTTGAGTATATTCTTTTAAATCATTTAAATCTCGATGAAAACATATATGACTAATATGCATTTCGAAAAATATTGGTGAACTAAATAAAATTGAAAATACCCAGAGTATAATAATTAATAATCGACAATCTCTTCGTCGTAATTTGGGTTTTAATGGGTAAATTATTGCTACATAACGATCGACTGACATAGCTATTAAAGTATAAACCGTACAAACTACAAATACGGATTGTGCAACTGATGTAAATTTACACATAAATATTCCAAATGGCCAATCAGATAAAAGATAATCAGAAAGTAGAACTATTGGAATACATAGTAACCCAATAAAAAGATCTGTGACAGCTAAATTTGCAATAAATAAATTTGTAACAGTTGTCACACCCATATAATGAAATACAGTTAAACATACAAGTGCATTACCACCAACAGTAAGAATACTTAAAAGTGTATAGACAATAGCAGCAGTTCCTTGTAAATAAATTGGTGAAATTGGTGGTGCTGCATCAACATATGTTGCTCCAGGTATAGATGTATTGCATGTAATATTATATGTAGAATTCATCGATTCTATAATTAGCTCTTACACTTTTTTATTGCCTATGTACCATATAGTATGACTATCTATAATAATAGAACATAAATAAACAAAACAAAGAAGAAAATCCTGACAAATTATTATATTAAAAATGACGTTTCAAGAGCATACTTTGACACATCATTACATCTATTAAAAATAACTACCATAAATAACTGAATTTCGTCTTTTATTCTCAAAAGTCATTCTTTTTTTTCTTCTTCATTCTATTAGTGAATAGAAAAAAAACAGATAATAAATATGTTTATTTGCATGTAATAAATTAGTGAGTGCGTTTTCATAACCTTTTTTCCTGTTCGAGAAGGTAATCTCTACTTCCTTCTATTAGTTTGCATATAAATTAAAAATGTAAAGAATGTAATAAAGAATCTTTCTTGCTTTTCATATATAGATATACAAATTTTTTTGAAATATCTGGACATGACATACCGAAGAAGACGACTTATCTATTCATTTTCTTTTGTT